TATCTGTGCTTTAATTTTTTTATTAATGAGCAGTAGGGCACTTCTAAAAGAGACTTGATCTTATTGCAGTAATAAAATTAGAAAAAAGCTCTATTTATTAGACTATACAGGGTGGCCACTTTTTTAATGGGATTGTATTAGTAATTTCCAAACCATACTAGTTAGAAAGTCGGTTAAATGGAGAAAAAGTTGCGTATCTCGAATCATAATCTAGCGGTGAAAATTAATCGAGAATAGCAGGCACGGTTCTTGAGATATTTCGATAAAAGGAAATTCGATCATTTTGGTTTTTTGATTATCGTTCATTTATTTTCAAAAATACTAAAAAATATTTTAAAGGTTTTTTATTTGATAGTAAATTTTCTTTGATTTGACGTTTTCATATTTTGCATCCAACGTTTCGTATTCTCCAGACCACCATCAACTTTTTTTTTTAAATATGGGCCTGGGTATTTTATAACATTATTTGAAATAACTTTTTATCCTGTATCCAGCGGTGTATTACACAATGGCATTCATTGACAGGTTTTGGGTAATATGGACCGTAATCCAAATTTTATTGGTACGGATCATCTGTATTGAATTTATAATCAGCGTTAATTTTTTCAGTGTATAATACTTCGAAGATAAAGTGATTATAATTAGGAAAAAATAAATGAGAATTAACATTTATTCAATTATTCGACCATTAAAAAGTATGTTTTGAGAAGGTAAATGATTAAAAGATATTCTCGATTCTATTTTTGACAATACATACCTACCAAATTTGAAGGCAAAATATTATTTTATTACTGGCACAGCAATTGATATGATTTTTAACTAATATCATCTTACTTGTTATAAAATATAGTAGGCCGTGAAAACAATCCATATTACAAGAACTGTCACATTATTATTATTATTATTATTATGTTGTTCTTTATTGCTTTACGAAAATTTCTCATTGTTCAAAAGTTTTTTGTGTGTTTCTTGGTACCTAGTCTAACTTCAATATGGTAAGATACACTGCAGAAGAAAGACGAGATATGTACGAATTATACATCAAACTGAACAGAAATTCGTTCAGAGCAAAACACAGGTACGAGGATTTATATCCCGACAGAATGCAACCAAATATAAAAAATTTTCGGCGTTTGTCTACAACTCTTCTCGAACATAATACATTCGATAAGGCTAGAGTTCCGTATGTTCGAAGAAAGGAGCCAGTCAACGATATTAATGTCTTAGCTCAAATTCGAATAAATCCAGGAGTTGGGTCGAGGACTATTGCAGGTGAATGTAACTTATCAAAAAGTGCTGTTAATAAGATAATCAATAGACACGGATACCATGATTACAAATACCAAGCTGTACAAAAACTATATCGTAATGATCCTGAAAGAAGATTGCGATTTTGTAATTGGTTTAAACAAAAGGTAAGAATTAATAACAACTTTGCACACAATATCATTTGGGGAGACGAAACAACATTTACAAATTCTGGTATGTTCAATCGAAGAAATAATTATGCCACGGAAAATCCTCACCTAATCCAAGAAGTGAGACATCAATATCGTTTCTCTTTGAATATATGGTGCGGTTTGTTAAATAATAAATTACTGGGACCATACTTTATTGACGGAAACCTTACTGCAGAAAAATATTTAGATATACTGCAGGATATATTAGATGATCTTCCTTTAGAGTATCGTCTTAACGAAATCTGGTTCCAACAAGATGGATGTGGTCCACACAATTCACGAATGGTCACGGATTATTTGAATCAGACTTTTCCCAATTCATGGATTGGAACAAAAGGTCCAGTGGCGTGGCCTGCCAGATCGCCAGATCTGAATCCATTAGATTTTTATTTGTGGGGACGTTTCAAAAATAAAGTGTATAATACACGAAATGCAACAATTGAGATTCTCCGCGAAAAGATTGAAGATGCATTGGAAGATATCCAAGAAGAAGAAATAAGCAATAGCATAAGAAATATGAATATCAGAATTGCTAAATGTATTGAAGAAGATGGCAGGCATTTTGAACAATTACTCAATTAATTAAGTGTAAGGGTTAAAGAAAAGGTCCTTTATTTCTCACAAGTCAATTTAATTGGCGACCGGTTTCGAAGCTGTCACTTCATCATCAGGCACACCTAAATTGAATGTCAAGGAGTCAGTTGTAATAAAAAACAATTATAAAAGCATGAACGGACTTTAACATATACAAAATAACAGAAAAAACAGAAAAAACACAAAAGAAGTTAAACAATAACCTTGACTCACCTTGACTATTTCCATAAAGGAAGCGCTACTAAAAGTTTAACAAAACGAGTTAAAAAAGTCATATGTAATACAATAGTATTTTTTAAAAATATTGTAGGTTAGGTTAAACCGCGAGATGTCTGTTTGAATAAATTAATTAAAACACATGTAAGACTATTATTAACTAAACAACACAAAATAGTTTTTACAAGCACAAACAGTTTAAACATTTTTAAGGATATACTTTCAATAAATTTTGTCACCGCCCCCTATACTCACTTTCAGTAAATAACATCTTTGTTAGTACACTATTTATCCGCTAAATTTAAAATTTACAGTTTACTACATTGATTCGTTAAAAAATCTAGATAGATGTCTGGAGATAATTTTTACTTTTTACTTTTATTAATTGACGTTATATCCTTAAAAATTTTTAAACTGTTTGTGCTTGTAAAAACTATTTTGTGTTGTTTAGTTAATAATAGTCTTACATGTGTTTTAATTAATTTATTCAAACAGACATCTCGCGGTTTAACCTAACCTACAATATTTTTAAAAAATACTATTGTATTACATATGACTTTTTTAACTCGTTTTGTTAAACTTTTAGTAGCGCTTCCTTTATGGAAATAGTCAAGGTGAGTCAAGGTTATTGTTTAACTTCTTTTGTGTTTTTTCTGTTATTTTGTATATGTTAAAGTCCGTTCATGCTTTATAATTGTTTTTTATTACAACTGACTCCTTGACATTCCATTTAGGTGTGCCTGATGATGAAGTGACAGCTTCGAAACCGGTCGCCAATTAAATTGACTTGTGAGAAATAAAGGACCTTTTCTTTAACCCTTACACTTAATCCCTACTACTCACATATGGCTACCCTCACTCCAAAACTCAATTAATTTTATTGATATTTTCAAATAATTTGATTATGACTAACAAAAACTGAATTTCTTTTTGTTATTATCATTAATTGCGTTTTAAAATTTCTACAATTCTATTGTTGTTGTTGATGAATTGTTTAATTTTCGAAAAATTACATAAATTTTGTAAGAATTGATTTTATTTTTTTATCGAGGAACATGACATGTTGATTCAACTAAAGATGGCTGAAACCAAGCGTAAATTAAATAAAATTTGGATTACGGTCCATATTACCCAAAAACCGTGATTGAATGCCATTGTGTAATACATCGCTGGATGCAGGACAAAAAGTTATTTCAAATAATGTTATAAAATATCCAGGTCCATATTTAAAAAAAATAAGTTGAGGGTGGTCTGGAGAATACGAAACGTTGGATGCAAAATATGAAAACGTCAAATCAAAGAAAATTTACTATCAAATAAAAAACCTTTAAAATATTTTTTAATAGTTCTGAAAATAAATGAACGATAACCAAAAAACCGAAAATATCGAATTTCCTTTTATCGAAATATCTCAAGAGCCGGGCCTGCTATTTTCGATTAATTTTCACCGCTAGATTATGCTTCGAGATAGGCAACTTTTTCTCCATTTAACCGACTTTCTTACTAGTATGGTTTGGAAATTACTAATACAATCCCATTAAAAAAGTGGCCACCCTGTATATCCAAATAGTATTAACTAAAAATATAAAAGTTTTTATGACTAAACATCAGATTCACCTCTAGGGACCGCGGGTTCGTCAAAATTTGAAAGGATTTCGCGTTACAAATTAAAATAGCTTCTTATATTTGAAAATAGGCAAAGAAAAAAATTTTAAGTATATTTTGTAAACAATTCTCATGCCAAAAGTTCGTCTAGTCTCGGCTCTCGGCGCTTCACTTTCTTTAAAACTGTTGTAACGCGAAGCGACGTTTGTGTTCACCTGCACTGTGTTCTATTCAATGGGTTGACAAGGACAGTGATAATTCTTGGTAGGGGCCACAGATTTGGATAGAGGAGATTGGAAAAGGCCGTTTTCCCCGGTGTTTCAAAATAATCACATCATGTAGGCCGCCATGTTGGCAATTTAAGCGTACAACGCACATGCGCAGGAGTGCGTTTAGAAACCCCGCACGACGCGTCTGAGCCCTATTCTAATGCATGTGGTCAGACGCGCCGTGCGGGGTTTCTAAACGCACTCCAGTTGTTGTAGTGTTTTGACAGAAGTGTCATTTATGTCAACTATTCTTGGTTTCTTTCGAAATTCGCTATTTTAGTGAATTTAAAAGAATTTTAGAAGTTTTTACTATAGACAATTAATAAAATGCTTTTTTTTGGTTGTTTAAACAACGAGGATTCAGAGAACATTACATTCCACAAGTAAGACATCATTTCTACCAGAACCGTATTCTTCACCACAGTTTAATTTTCTAGAAAACGAAATATCATAGTACAATAACCAACTGTATGTAGGTATCTAACGTTGATATTACTATATTTTTTTTAGATTGAGGAAAAGGCGTATGCTTCTTGGTTAATAGCTATTGGAAGAAATCATTGGAAAATATAAGTGCAAATAACGCTATTTGTTCCTCCCATTGTCATAAAGATGATTTAATCGTTTCAAAACGAATAGATACAATAAAAAAATAATGCAATACCTTCCATAAATATGCCTAAAATTGAAGATTTTTATAACATTAGTGTTATGAGGTAAATTATACATAAAATTATAAATTTGTTTCTTTTTATACTTTTTAAGAAAGTGATAAAAAATTGTTAATTATCCCTATTATTTTTAGAAATTTACAACCTTCAGCTTGAACGAATATTATTAATTCAGAATCTAACGAGGAATTATAGAAGTTGTCAGTTGGTTATTTGTTATTAACGGTTTAGATGGTAATGAAAGAAGAAAAGTGGCATTATAGGCTCTTCTAAAATTGCATGAATATGGAGTTATCATCACCTAATTATCATTTGATGGATAACATTAGGTGTAAACCTATACAACTTTGATATTGACACTGCGACTCCATATTTCTTGCATTCACCATAGATAAAAGTACATTTTTTATAATTTTAGATGCATGTCACATACTTAAGTTGGCTTGGAATAACTGGGATAACCTTACTAAAATTGTCGAAACTAATGGCGAAATTATTGATTTTAATTATATAAAATTGTTGCATTATATTTAACAAACAGAAGGTTTACGTTTGGGTAGCAAATTAAGAGTGCCCCATATGGATTGGAGAAAGACATGAAGGTTTGTACACTTAAACGAATTTAGAAATTACAAATACTAAGTAACATTACTATTTATTGTATAAGGAAATTTGAGAAACTGTTCTATTTACTAAATTCTCGAAATCTTTTTAGATTTCAATGGAAAATGCCTTTGTCTCAAAAAACGGAGACTATATGGATGTCTGAAATATAAGCTGCAACAGAATGTATAAAGAAACTTAAAACCTTTGACAGCAGTTATGTTATTCAGTGACCGAAGAAGAATAGTGGTGTTCTAGACTTTGTTTTCAAGTTTGTAATAGGTTTATATGACAAATATGTAGACTGTTAATATATAAACTTAGTACAGATCACTTAGAGCTATTTTTCTGCAGTATATGGAATAGTATTAGTTTAATTGTATGATGCAATTACATTTTATTTCTAGGGCTAGGTATGGATGGAACAATAATCCTTTATCTGTAAAAAATTTCCATTCATATAGACTACGATTACTTCTGTACCATGACATTAAGAATCTTAATGGCTATTGTATTCTTTAGGATCCCATCAACATTTTACAAATGACACTAAAAAGTACAACAACAGTGCTTATAGTTTATTACTACTCTTACTAAATATAACTGAGAGAAACTTCAGAAGATTCAAAATTCTTGTATAAGATGTACTTGTAATATTCCTTATAGAAATCATGTTTCTTCGTACATTCGCAGGTTAAATAAATACAAAATTTAGGAAAGCGTAAAATATCTTTTTTTAATGTTTAAAATTCCACGATATCTTACTAAAAAGATCAACTTTACACAATGTAAATTTAAGAGTGAACACTTTTACAACCCCAATGCATAGAACTTCAAAATTCCAAGATTGTTTTAGATACGTAGCACCATTATTGTTAAATTCAGAACTTAATAATTTGAATTTTAATCATTTTGTTAAGACTATTAGGCAAGTTCTTATTTCAAGACAATGATTTAATTTAAAATAATTATTTTGTGAACATTTTTTCTGTTATAATGAGGATCAATTGAAAAACGGCTCAGCCGAATTCATTCATTTTGAGACACTAATGTATTTATAGTTGCTCAATAAACATTATTTATTTATTTATTTAAATATAGTCAAAAAATGTACGGTATCTTAAGCCGACGCATCAGGCGTAATAAAGATGAGACGCTTAATTGTATTTGGATGTGAGAGCGATAAAGATAGTAATTGATTTTACCATACCCTTTCGATGGCAAGCATGGGCTGTTGTGGTCCACACTCATTCGTATTATTTTATTTCTCTCTATTCAATGACATTGTGTTCCATACCTTTTTCCTGGAGCCAGGATGGAAAAGTTAAATTATTGTATTGTATTATACAGAATGTAATTAAGTTGTTAGATATTTCAGAAAACATTGTTTATATTGCAAAAAAAAAATGATAAAATATTCTGCTGGCCAAGATACACTTTCTAGCGCAACAGCTAATAAAAATTATTGAAAATTATTTTTTAGGACAAAATAGGGTAATATAAAACAGTTTCGGCTGTAAGTACTAGTGTAAAACTGTCAAATTATCTTAAAAAAAAAGTATTTTTAATCACATAATCAATTACCTGCTAAAAAATGTTCATTTTCAATTAGTTTAAAATAAAAACTTGTTTCGAGAAATCAATAATTATAATTATCTAAAGAGTATCTACCCTCATAGGAAAATCACATATCAAGATTAATAAAAACATTAAAGACATTATTCAAACCCCAATGAAAATTTAAAAAACTAAATTTGTATTTTTTGTTCCTCATTAACTTTTATTAAATAGCTTTTTTTTATTTATAATTTATTAGTGCCATTTTCTAATGTAATATAAATGTTTTATATTTAATAACCCAATATTAACATATATTTACTGTAGTATTTATTACACAAGATAAAAAAGTAAAACCCTTCGCACTTGGCAAAATCGAAGCTTTGTTACTACTTATTCTCTCACAACCTTCGTCTATGTAAGCGGGTGAATTTACCGCCTTTTCAGATTCCTTTAGTGACCGAAATCGAGAATGTCTATTTCTTGCTGATGAGTCCTAATAAGGACAAAACCGGTCCAAGAATAACGTTATCTATAGTAAGCAAGAACAAAGTTTGAATATTGAAATATGAATTTTTCAACTTTGTTGTTTTATTTGGATATAATTCAATGTTTGCTGCGGAATTAGCCAAAGAAGTAGTTGTTTTTTGAAGGAAAACGGTAAAGTTTGGATTTATTTCCCTTTTTTAATAAAATATTTGACTACATGCTTCTTATAATACCTAGTTTTAAATTTACTCTATTCATTAGTAGGAATATGCCCATAATCTCTTATTTATTATGATTGATGATTCTTAATGTATGCTCAAGTGCATGTTATAGTACTGTGGAACGATATTACAAATATTTTTGAATTCCTTAGTTTTGTAGTTTTTATATAAAATGAAATACTTTCAAGATCTGAGCAATCCCATGTAATAATTACATACAAAATTACAGTTTTTAATATGAAAGTTTTGTTTAAATCACGTGATTCCAGATTTATTTGCTACAAAATGTATGACGGCCTTAGATTGTTGTATTAATTTCATATAAAATTGTATTTTAAATATATTCTGTTTTTATTAAATTTAAAATAAAGTTTCAAAAAAGACTATGATGTTTTTTATTTTTAGAAATCTCTTAAAATCCACAAAAAAAAGAAAATTAAAATTCTATTACGAGTTTTTAAGGTTATTAGTTCTACTGTGTAAGTAAATCCTTAATATTTTCGAATTATGTTTAAATGTGTTAGTCCTATCCTGTACACTTCAATATGCAATCAATGCGCAAGTGCGTAGGTCGCTTTTTTTGTATAGATGGCCGCCTTCAATTCTACGTGCCTGATGAAAATGACATTTCCTATCTCCTTTATCGATGTCTGTGGTAGGGGCGTATCTCGAATATTGTCATTTGGAAAAGCATCGTTGCCAAATTTATCATTTAGGAGATATTTTAAGAAGTCAATAAAGTTATTGTTAATGTAAGTATGTAGATAAGTAGAAATTCAATTGAATAACTAAACATTGTTTTACAAAATTACAACGAATGTCTTAAAAATAAATGTTCCCAAGGTACCAACTAGTAATTTAATTACTTTGTTTGATTTATTTCTGTACTCTACGTTTAATGAACTAGTTTATCACAATGTTAAAAAGCATCAAAAGCAACAATTAATATCTGACTCTTATTAGTGATAATTGTAATTTATCCATAATTAAATTGTCATGATTTTAATCTTCTAATAATACAGAATTAATGCACAATATTGAATCGGCATATCTGATAAACTTTAAATGTTACTATTATTAATTACTAGTATTACAACAGTGACATTTGTGGTTCAAAAAACCTGTATTTGAGATAAGGTATATCCTAGAAAAAGCATGTAAATTATTTTAACCTTGATGGTTTACAGAGATTAAGAAGGAATGCAGTGTCGTAGCGTTCATAAAACTTTATTAAAATGTCATTTTGATTTCATTTGTGATTCATTTCCAAAATTATATACTTCATTAAAATTTATAAGTAGAAGAAATGGGTAAAATTTCCAGATTTCATTAGGCACAACTCAATCCTATGACTTTAAAGTTTGAATTTGTATGTTAAAAATTAACGATTTTCAAATTACTTTTATTACAGATATTTTCACTAAATTATTAATTACAGGGTGGACCAGAAATGACTGAAAATGAATTTTTTTTTTTTTCGTAGCAAGATTCGAAAAGTTAGTAGACTCTATTAGTTTTATCCCATATCGTTTATAAACCATATACAGTGGGATTCAAAATATTTTTTTTATTTCTCGTCCTGAACAGTGTATATGTTTAATAGCTGATTGTTTGCCATTAGTTTTCACAGATATCGCCGAATTATTTTAATGACTGTATTGGGATTCAATACCCAACGCTTTTTATAGATAAAATATTATATAGTAGCACTAAATAAATGAACCAATATAGTTAAGAAATGAATTATTCTGTTCTCATTGTGCTACCAACAAATTATTCATTTGCCTTTAATGGTTGTGCTATTTAAAGCCATTAGTTTATTGTAATGATATTTCCATGTACAATTGTGATTGACTGGTATAGTATTACTTGTAAATCGATTCATTTCCTATTGTCTAATCTGCATTCCATCTCTTAAAATATTAGTGAAGATAAGAAATAAAAATAAAATATATATTTTTTTTAATGTTTAATTGCACTCCAAGGTTTACTTTCAGGGCCGTTACATTTTAATATTGACAATAAAAGAAAGCAATACACGCCTACAATTAGGTATTGCAATCGAGGACTCTTTAATAATTTCTTATCTTGTAGATCCGGTTCAAAAGGACACAACTAAGATGTAATTCTTAATTACATACAATGGAAATTCCTTAGGAATATGCAGGTTGTCCCACTTTTTTGTTGAATAAAATTCAAACTAAGATTTGGGTAATTTAGTAGATGTTTACAGCAATATTTTTTTATACTAGTTAATAAAAACAGTTTTGAGAAAATTATGACTTTTTATAGTACAATTTCGAAGGCAACATCCAGATAAAAAAATTATATCAAAAATTTGATAGTGTATAATTCAAAATATTATAATAGTGACCTACAAGACGAAAAACGTAGCAAGAAAAAAATTTGAGTTAATCTTATTTGTCTTAAATAAATTTTCTTGGTGGAAAATTACAACTTCAAAATTGAATACCTTTATTATATATACTATAAAATAATTATATAGTAGATATAAGTTAAAATAAGGTTGTATAAATAATAAAATAAAACATACAACCATTGCCATTTTTCATATCACTTTTTGGAATTTAATTTTTAATTTGTACCTTCAATGATTTATATTTTCTTGATAATAGTTGGACCAAGTAAACTTCTGTAAACTTATAGATAGTCGTGAATATTTGTATTAAGAAGCTGTAATGATGGTGTAGCAATAAATGGAACTTATCAATTGATGTTTATATTGTGAGAAAAATTTGACGTCATAATAATATTTATCGAAAAAACACTTTATCTTTTTCAGTCGACATTATCGGCACCATAAATCTTCTTCGACAGGATCCATTCTCTTCATCTGTCGTAAGATTATGATGTTATTCTTCACGTTTTTTGAATAATGGTCGTCCTCTATCATTTACTTAAACTAATTGCAAATAATTTTAATGAAACATCACCTTTAACCCATTTTCGCGTCCTTGCCAATGGATCAGTATAGAATTAGCCCAGGAAAACTTAAAATAATATTAAAAGCATAACAAATATTAATATTTAGTATATGATGTAATAAGAAATATGTTTATGTTGATAAAGCGTATTTTTGACAAGGTACTTTTAATATTAAAAACATACTTTTTATAAGATTTAATAACAGTATACTGTTTTACCAGTACCAGTGACGAAAATGATTTTCGATGTGTAAAACATTATACTTTCTTTACTGCCATATTAGTACTAAGTTAAAACAATAGAGGAAAACAAAGGAAAATAAAAAAATAAAAAAAACAAACCGAAAAAACAAAGAAGCAAAAAACAAAGAAACAAAAAACAAAGAAACAAAAAGAAAAAATAAAACAAAGGAACAAAAAGAAAATATAAAACAAAGAAACAAAAAAAAATAAAACAAAAAAACAAAACAAAAAAAAATAAAAAAAAACAAAAAAAAACAAAAAAAAAAACAAAAAAAAAACAAACGAAGAAACAAAGAAACAAAGAAACAAAGAAACAAAGAAACAAAGAAAAAAAGAAAAAAAGAAACAAAGAAAAAAAGAAAAAAAGAAAAAAAGAAAAAAAGAAAAAAAGAAAAAAAGAAAAAAAGAAAAAAAGAAAAAAAGAAAAAAAGAAAAAAAGAAAAAAAGAAAAAAAGAAAAAAAGAAAAAAAGAAAAAAAGAAAAAAAAGAAAAAAAGAAAAAAAGAAAAAAAGAAAAAAAGAAAAAAAGAAAAAAAGAAAAAAAGAAAAAAAGAAAAAAAGAAAAAAAGAAAAAAAGAAAAAAAGAAAAAAAGAAAAAAAGAAAAAAAGAAAAAAAGAAAAAAAGAAAAAAAGAAAAAAAGAAAAAAAGAAAAAAAGAAAAAAAGAAAAAAAGAAAAAAAGAAAAAAAGAAAAAAAGAAAAAAAGAAAAAAAGAAAAAAAGAAAAAAAGAAAAAAAGAAAAAAAGAAAAAAAGAAAAAAAGAAAAAAAGAAAAAAAGAAAAAAAGAAAAAAAGAAAAAAAGAAAAAAAGAAACAAAGAAAAAAAGAAACAAAGAAAAAAAGAAACAAAGAAAAAAAGAAACAAAGAAAAAAAGAAACAAAGAAACAAAGAAAAAAAGAAAAAAAGAAAAAAAGAAAAAAAGAAAAAAAGAAACAAAGAAACAAAGAAACAAAGAAACAAAGAAACAAAGAAACAAAGAAACAAAGAAACAAAGAAACAAAGAAACAAAGAAACAAAGAAACAAAGAAACAAAGAAACAAAGAAACAAAGAAACAAAGAAACAAAGAAACAAAGAAACAAAGAAACAAAGAAACAAAGAAACAAAGAAACAAAGAAACAAAGAAACAAAGAAACAAAGAAACAAAGAAACAAAGAAACAAAGAAACAAAGAAACAAAGAAACAAAGAAACAAAGAAACAAAGAAACAAAGAAACAAAGAAACAAAGAAACAAAGAAACAAAGAAACAAAGAAACAAAGAAACAAAGAAACAAAGAAACAAAGAAACAAAGAAACAAAGAAACAAAGAAACAAAGAAACAAAGAAACAAAGAAACAAAGAAACAAAGAAACAAAGAAACAAAGAAACAAAGAAACAAAGAAACAAAGAAACAAAGAAACAAAGAAACAAAGAAACAAAGAAACAAAGAAACAAAGAAACAAAGAAACAAAGAAACAAAGAAACAAAGAAACAAAGAAACAAAGAAACAAAGAAACAAAGAAACAAAGAAACAAAGAAACAAAGAAACAAAGAAACAAAGAAACAAAGAAACAAAGAAACAAAGAAACAAAGAAACAAAGAAACAAAGAAACAAAGAAACAAAGAAACAAAGAAACAAAGAAACAAAGAAACAAAGAAACAAAGAAACAAAGAAACAAAGAAACAAAGAAACAAAGAAACAAAGAAACAAAGAAACAAAGAAACAAAGAAACAAAGAAACAAAGAAACAAAGAAACAAAGAAACAAAGAAACAAAGAAACAAAGAAACAAAGAAACAAAGAAACAAAGAAACAAAGAAACAAAGAAACAAAGAAACAAAGAAACAAAGAAACAAAGAAACAAAGAAACAAAGAAACAAAGAAACAAAGAAACAAAGAAACAAAGAAACAAAGAAACAAAGAAACAAAGAAACAAAGAAACAAAGAAACAAAGAAACAAAGAAACAAAGAAACAAAGAAACAAAGAAACAAAGAAACAAAGAAACAAAGAAACAAAGAAACAAAGAAACAAAGAAACAAAGAAACAAAGAAACAAAGAAACAAAGAAACAAAGAAACAAAGAAACAAAGAAACAAAGAAACAAAGAAACAAAGAAACAAAGAAACAAAGAAACAAAGAAACAAAGAAACAAAGAAACAAAGAAACAAAGAAACAAAGAAACAAAGAAACAAAGAAACAAAGAAACAAAGAAACAAAGAAACAAAGAAACAAAGAAACAAAGAAACAAAGAAACAAAGAAACAAAGAAACAAAGAAACAAAGAAACAAAGAAACAAAGAAACAAAGAAACAAAGAAACAAAGAAACAAAGAAACAAAGAAACAAAGAAACAAAGAAACAAAGAAACAAAGAAACAAAGAAACAAAGAAACAAAGAAACAAAGAAACAAAGAAACAAAGAAACAAAGAAACAAAGAAACAAAGAAACAAAGAAACAAAGAAACAAAGAAACAAAGAAACAAAGAAACAAAGAAACAAAGAAACAAAGAAACAAAGAAACAAAGAAACAAAGAAACAAAGAAACAAAGAAACAAAGAAACAAAGAAACAAAGAAACAAAGAAACAAAGAAACAAAGAAACAAAGAAACAAAGAAACAAAGAAACAAAGAAACAAAGAAACAAAGAAACAAAGAAACAAAGAAACAAAGAAACAAAGAAACAAAGAAACAAAGAAACAAAGAAACAAAGAAACAAAGAAACAAAGAAACAAAGTAACAAAGACACAACTTTTAACCAAAACCTGGGAAAATGGGACAAGAAACGGCAAAGTCTCTAAGACCAATAAGTCTTATGTCCTTTGTACTTAAGACTTTGGAAAAACTGCTACAAGGTACAAATATGACAGAGTGGGTGCTATGAACTAACATGGGGTAAAACACAATAAGCCAATAGGCTTCAGTGTTATTCGGAGACACATAGTCAGACGAGCCCAGGAGAAAGAAAAAAAAAAGACAGAAAACAAAAAATAAAAACAAAAACCAGAAAAAATAAAAACAAAAGAAAGAGTAAAAAACACAAATTAAAAAACAAAAAAATAACAAAAGAAAAACCAAAACAACAAGAAACAAACAAAACAGAAAAACGAAAAAACAAAAAAAACAACAGCTCCTACCACCGAGACGTAGTACATGTTTACCACCCTCCTGTGTACCCAACTACAAATATAAAGCAAAAAACACGTGCTACGTTTTGCAAGAAGATGAGGAAGTATAACAGAAATTTAAAAAAATACCGAAATGCAATTTTAAAAATAAAGATTTTTAAAATATTCCGTATGGAAACTCAATTATTGAACCTAAAGCTTTAACTAGTTTTCTAACAATCCTTAAATGTTTTCCTTTATTCTGCATTTTTGATATATCTGTCATTTACAACAATAGCTAATTATATGAGAATAGGAATTTCATAGATTAACTCTTAAACAACTTACGGTTGTTTATTTACAGTAAATTAACTCAAGTATACTGACACTTCAAAGAACATTTCAGGAATAATCAGTCAATTTCATCTCATCTCTTAATTCTCTCTAATTAAGGTTAAACGTTTATCATATTCATTTACCGCCTTTAAAGATTTCTAATACAGTCGTTTATACAGTTCTGATGTGTCAAGTTCCTGCTTGATCTCTATCAAATTTTGTTAAAAAATGCAATCCAAGGAGTAAAGGTGAATATAAAAGGGGCGTATAAGAAATTATTTTTATATAACCAAATTTGTTATTGCTCGGAAGTGTGCCATAAAATAGCGAAAGGTCAATTAGAAACCCTATATTTATCTTTAAGTTTGTAGAATTAAAAACCTAACGAGTCAAAATAAACATTTAAACATTTCTTTTGTGACATGTTTGCTTTCTCTCACATCCAAAATTTAAAGCGCCTTTAAAAAAAAATTAAATATTCAGGATCGCACGCCAAATTTTTTAATATTCTTCGTTGAACTCGAGTCGGCAATAAAACGGAACACATAAAGTTTATGCACGTTTTTTTAAATACATAAACCACAAGATTCTTCCGAATATAAAATAAATTCCCCTTATTTATGTACAAAAATAAACCGCACTGTACGCGATATTGCTTTGATTATAAAAGTTACGATGCATGAAGTGAAGACAGGAGTGGACCAAAACTGACAAATTTAAAAAATACGAAGTTTAATCAAACAGAAATCTTAAATATATTATTCAATAAAATATCTAAAACAAATATATATTTTTTCTTTTGAGTCCCATTACATTTATTGACCGTTCTGCTTTCTTTTGGAATAGCGTAAAAAATCTATACTAAATCACTTTATCGTAAAATATCTTCTCGTCTATTGACTTGTTAAGGAGGTCCTTTCGCCACATTGGACCCTCAAACTTCAAATATTGGATGATTATCATCAGTCACTATGCAGATTGAGTACTAGAAGTTTCCGCAAATGCCTGTAGTTAAAAAGAAAGGTCAATAGGTCTGTAAAACAATGTGACTATTTAAAGCCACAGCATTAACAGCTTTTTTTTAAATTTGAATATAAAATTTGACAAGCAAAACACTTTGTAGAGCTTAATAAAAAAAGAATCGCAAATAAATATTGACTTTGTATAGTGCTACCATTAAAAATATTACCAAAAAATGTATTTATCTTTATTTAATACTTTAGTACCTAATGCATTTCTTTGGTGCTAAAAACCCGATTCACGCTATATAAAAAACATTTTAGAATGGTTTGATAACAACTTATTTAATTTCCACATATTCGATTTTATTTTACTATATAACACAAAATATATTTAAATTCTAAATAATTATTGTAACGCCGGTCCTGTCTAGCGAAACGGAATGCGCGCGGTTTTCCATTTTTCGTGGTTTTGAACGATCATCAGACATGTAGTCAGTTACTAGAATTTATGGCAATAAAAAAGTTTATTACAGCTCTAAGTAGAGCTCGTTGTGTTTTAATACCACAATGCAACCCAAAAACGATTCTTGTAATCTTTATAAAACAATAAAGTAATTTGTGCGTAGAAAAATGGAGCAATTATTTCAGCTTTGCCCGAAACATTTTAACATGTATAGGGAAAAATTTGATATTCGTTCATTGTTTTTTGAGTTTTAAGAAATTAATCAATAATAAAATGCGAGAAATGCCGGTGATAATCCTTATAAAAGAACATGAAAACTTGCGAGAAATGACATGCCGGTGACAATCGCCAGCGGGTCGCCACCTTTCAGGCTTTCGCCGGAATGAATCTCTGGCAAATCGCTGGCGATCGACTATGCATACGGGTGTTAGTTTCTTTTATAAGCTTTAAAAATGTTTTTGAATTTATAAATACACGAGTAAGCGTTATATTTTGTGGGCCTTTTTAAAAGAATCGAATTTTAAGCAAGGCCCTATTACCCTCTTGATGGTATAATAAGGCGTTTTAAAAAAGGCTCAAAAATTAAAAAAAAAGAAATAGAAATTTCTATTAGAAATGTATTCATTTGTTCCAAGAAGCGTAACTGTTTTTGATTATATGTATTTTCCATTTTATTTTAACTTTTTTTTTTTAAATAAAATGAGTTTGTTCCTTAGGTGGGCCTTATTTGCCTCAGGTACCTTATACTAAAACGTTTTAATAAATTTTACCATGTTGATATTGCTGATTTGTGTTAGATTCTAACATTTACACCAAGTTATATATATTTTTTTTGTTTATTCACTTTAAATTAAATCATACAACTGACGCGATGTCACCATAACTTAATCAAAACGACAAACTGTCAAACGTCATCGGAAAACGCGTGCTTTTAAGTTTCTAAAGGAAAAAATCATGTATTTAGTCAAATGAAGCTTTAAAGTATATAATTTCAATAAATTTGTTTTATGAAATCGATACAACAGTTAATATTGATTATGAAATTGGCTCTAAAATTCGTCTGAATTAAAGATGTTTTACTTTTATTCCAGTTTGTCTCGTATTCTCACTGTAAATCTACTTGTGGGTGAACTTAAAGAAGTTATCTATATACTTACATTATATTTTAATAGAGAGAGAGAGAGAGAGAGAGAGAGAGAGAGAGAGAGAGAGAGAGAGAGAGAGAGAGAGAGAGAGAGAGAGAGAGATATGCTTTATTGTCGTAAAAAAATTTACAAAAATTTTATAGACAAAGCGTGTAACTTAAATACTAAACATATTATAAAAATAACTAAACAGCAGAAAAAACAAACAGAAACAAACAGACAAAATAGGAATAACAATTGCAATGGATATGCAATATCCGTCATTATAATTATTCTAATTTAATTTTTAAATTTAAATTTAAACTTTAATATTTAATTATTTAATTAATGCCATTGTATGTGGAACTCAAATGTCTAAGGTACGTTATAAAATTCTGCTACTGTGTAATATGGTCTTTCTAGAAGAAAAGCTTTAGCCAGTCTTCGGAACTTATCGTATGTATTTACAGATTTTAATTGCATCGGAAGGTTATTATACAATTTTTTGGCATTGTAGGTAATGGAATGTTTTAATAGGTCAGAAGTGGGCATTGTTAAATAAACATCAGTCTCTAAATTTCTTGTAGGATATCTACGAGTCGGTCTTTCGGATAAATTTTGAATGTGCTTGCAAACTAAGCAGACGGATTCGAAAATAAATAGAGCAGGAAGGGTTAGAATTTTGAAATTTTTGAAGTAATTTTCGCAATGTGTCCTACTACTTAAACCAAATACATAGCGGATTGCTCTTTTTTGCAGTTTAAAAATAGATTCGAAAAGGTATAAGCTAAAAGAACCCCAGAAAGGGAAACCATAGCGAAGGTGAGATTCGAATAAGGAAAAGTAGGTTATTAATGCAGTAGGAGTCAGCTCTTTAGAAACCGATTTAATGGCAAAACATGCGGAGGATAATTTTTTTGCTAAGGTATCTATATGAGCAGACCATTTTAGAGAATCGTCTATATAAAGACCTAAAAACTTGATTGAAGTCACCGTTTGGATCAGATTATTGTTTAAAGTTATAGGTTGTAAAGTACCTCTGTAAGACAATGCTACAGTTTTACTGGTGTTGAAACAAAGTCCATTCGAATCAGAGCAGGACTTAATAGTCACTAGATCTTCACTTATGATAGATTGTAATGTCTGCATTTTAGAATTATTCCAGGTTACACTGGTGTCATCAGCAAATAAAGTAATTCTACCACTTATTCTTAAGTCTGTGATGTCGTTGATGAATAATAAAAACAAAATTGGACCTAATACTGATCCTTAAGGTACTCCACTGCTTATTGCTAGATTTGTAGAATCCTCACCATTCGCCCGCACCTGTTGATTTCTATTTTCTAGGTAAGTTTTAAACCATTGTAAAGGAGAACCCCGTATGCCATAAATTTGTAACTTATTAATTAAAATATCATGATTTACACAATCGAAGGCCTTTGCGAAGTCACAAAATACTGAAGCGGTGAAAAGTTTATCATTAAGTGATGTGTATATTTCATTAAGAACGGAAAACATTGCGTCGCTAGTGCATTTTTTAGGTAGAAAGCCATACTGATGAGCTGTGAGGATGTTATGCTTGAAAAGAAAGGGCAAAAGACGGTTTTTCATTAGCCGTTCTACTATCTTCGATAAGGTAGGCAATAACGCGATAGGTCTATAGTTACAGGTTTTGGTTTTGTCGCCACCTTTATGAAGTGGGATTATTATAGCTGTTTTTAGACAGTTAGGAAAGAGACCAATTTCAA